CCTAGAAGTGTTTAAGTCTCGGCTTGACAAAGCCCTGGCCGGGTTGATTTAGATGGGATTGGTCCTTCCTAGAGCAGGGGGCTGGACTCGATGACCTTCTGAGGTCTCTTCCAGTTCTATGATTCTATGATTCTACCCCCTGTGTGTACATAACAAGTTTTTTCGGAAAAACAGCCATTTTTTCGAAAAAACTCTAATGTTGACATACCCCTAGAAGACAGGTAGAAGTTTAAGCATCTTGGGACCAGATTCGGTGTTTTAACTGGCTGTAGTGACATTGGATCAGCCGGTGCAACATAATTGTTAGGATGACAAAAGAAGATGAGAATCCCAGATCAAAGTTGAATCCTGTCAGATCAGGACTCTTTGAGGAAGAGGCAGTAGCAATAGAAGTGTGAACGGTTCAGGCAATCTGGATCAATACCACTTTCTCCAGGACAAAGGTTTAAATTGTATCCATCTCCTCCCCTCCTATTGCACCTTTGCCCTCTGGGGTTTGTTTTACAGACTGCTCTGAAACCTCAAAGCTTACATACTGAAGCAGTTTCTTAAAATAAATATATCAAGTAAGAGGTGAATAAGGTGCTAAATGATGTATGCTTCCCCGCCCTATGCATTATACATCAGAAGGCTCAGAAGTCAGAGTTAAAAACAAACGTAAAGAAATAATCTTGTGAATGACTGCTTCCTGACGCGACAGCCTGGTGGGGAAGGCACAGAGCAGGCAGGGGCCCTGTCAAAAAGCGGAACAAGGTAGATACTTCCATAGGCGGGCAAAGAAAAATCTCAACTCTCAAGACAGGGAAACTAGATATGAGGAGGATGTTTAGGCTAAACTTCAGAAGGAATTTTTAAAAGAAGATCTTTTCTGAAGTAGGACAGGGGTTAGAATCTGGAAGGAGGTGTTGGAAGGTTTTAGGAAAGCTACAACAGACTCGGTCCTGCTGTAATGGCAGACAATCAGTGACTTGGTTTTCCAAAGTGCTCTGACAAGTTTCAGTAACATCAATGGAAGTTATGAATGCTCGGTGCCTCTGAAAAGTCAGGCCCTAGCAGCGTTGTCACTTACTTAAAAGGGAACAGCCCTAATAAGCTGCCTGTCTTGAGTTCTAGTTTTCAGCTGATTTGAAACGTGGGATTCACCATATTTGATCCGACACAGGGTATATTGAATCTGGCATCTCACCTGCTACAGCGGCCAGCTAAAGATACTTCAGCCCAGAGGAAAAATCCTCCATAATGCACCTACCCATTGTGCTACTTTCTACGTGGTTTATTCTGAAGAGTTTTTATGCACCTACAGAAACATATAGAGAACTTTCTGGGTGTCTGGCTGGTGAGTCTTGCCCACATGCTCAGGGTTTAGCTGATCGCCATATTTGGGGTCAGGAAGGAATTTTCCTCCAGGGTAGATTGGCAGAGGCCCTGGAGGTTTTTCGCCTTCCTCCGTAGCATGGGGTACAGATCACAGCTGGAGGATTCTCTGAATCTTGGGGTCTTCAAACTATTTGAGGGCTTCAATATCTGAGATATAGGTGAGAGGATTATTCTAAGAGGGGGTGGGTGAGATTCTGTGGCCTGCACTGTGCAGGGGGTCAGACTAGATGATCATAATGGTCCCTTCTGACCTTAAAGTCTATGAGTCTATGACATCCCCCTGCTCTGAACGCAGGCTGTCAGAGAGGTGTCAGATTCCAGCATGCTGGTGAGCAAACACCAGGGAATGGAGGTGTCACATTACTGGATTTTAAGGGGAGCAGCCAGATCACAGCTGCACCCACGGGTGGGGGGGAGCCATGTGAGGTGTCAAATGAAAGCTTATATTCTACTGATTCTATACATGCTACTCATGTAGTTGTGTGATATCTGTACGTGGAGTTATGAATATGGGCTCTGCGCTGGTACTGGGCACGTTCCTTATAATATGAGGTTTAAGAGTTATTTCGAAAGAAGGTTTTTTTCTCAAAATAACCATGTCTACACTGCATTTTTTTATCTCAAAATAGGGTATTTTGAAATAGCGGCCGGATGCAATTATGGAAATGAAGCGCGGGAAATTCAAATCCACGCTTCATTTGCAATGTCTCTCGGCTGCATTTGTATTCCTCTCTCGAAAGAGGACTGCAGTGTAGACATATCCTGTCTGGAAACCTGCAAACCAGTCAGTATCTAATGGCTGCTGGCATGGGACACAGGGATAGGTCACTTGACCATGTGACCCGCTCCAGCTTGGAAGATACCAGGTATGGATATAAAAATGCCATGCGGCAGACTCCATCTTATCTTCAGTTCTGCTACTGATACCAGATGCAGCCTTGTGAGGGTCAGAGAGCTGGGAAGGATTGCTGACCCATCCTGACATAGGATGTACACCAGAGACTTTTAAGATAGCAGTTTGTGAAAGTTCTGCTGAGAGCCTGCATCAGGAACCTGGTGATTGGTGCATGTAACGTATTCTCCTTAACAACCTCACTCTCCACCTTTTCTTTCCTTTCCTTTATTAATAATCCTTTAGATTTTAGATTCTAAAGGATCGGCCCAGCGTGATCTTGTGGATAAGATCTAAAGTGTAAATCTGTGGCTGGTTCTTTGGGACCGGGAGGACCCATTTGGGGTAGGTGAGACAGTGTTCTATAACCCCTCACCTGTGTGTAAGGCCTAGGGCTGATTGTGGCACAGGGAGAGCTGGGGTGTCTGAGGGGTTTTGCTTGTGAGGCTTCCTGCTGGCTGGATTGGCAGCGGAGGCACTCGGTGTGACTGGTTTGTGACCTGTTTGGGGAAGGTCTCCAGTCTGGGGCTGTAAGCAGCCCTGGTTTTGAGCAATTCACCCTGAGCGGACACCCTCAGTGGTGCCCAGACCCGGCCTGGTCCGTCACAGGAAGTGAACAAGCATCCTGAAGACGAAAGACTCCATATTCCATTTCTAGCCGCCTAACTCCTGAGCCATCTGGTACTACGAAGTTACACATTTAATAATGGCAGTCCAAAGAAGGACAACTCATAACGTTTGAAGCTGAACAAATCGGGACAAGAAATAAAGTGCCGTTTTTTAAATAGCAAGAGTAATTAATCCTCAGATCAACTTAACAAGGGCAGTAGTGGATTATCCAATGGTCCTTTCTGGCTGAGAATCTATGAATGTGAAAGCCAGTGGATGTCACATTGCAATGCCGTTGAGCACGGATATTCAAATGGGTGCTTTTGTTTTCCTGAGGATAAGAAGGAAAGCAATCGTTCACTAGTAACGTTCTAGAGGGCTTAAGAAGCCAACATAGTCCCATTACTCCGGGAATCTCTTCTCGCAAAGCAGCAGCGCACACACCCACAGCAATAACCCAAGGCTGGGCTCCCCATTCTGACTCATATTCCTGGAAAAGTCAGCTCCTTTTCAGGACAGCTATGGGCATTCTCCATTGACTCAAGCTATTGAGAAGCTCCGGACAAGTGGGTGTGCATTCCAGTTACCTAAGAGACTGTAAAAGCTACCACTTTATTGCTAGATAATGACTTCCAGCATAATTGATATAGAAGAACTTTTATATACAAGTAAACAGGAAACCCCTCACCCTTCACTGAAATGCAGCAGCTATGTAATGGAGCACAGCAACACAACCTAAGGGCAGGAAGTGAAAAGACAGACACATCCCTCTGGAAACACAGAGAATGCAAGGACACATGTAGGTTTCCTCACTTTTACGACTCATTTGAAAACTGCCCACCGTGGCAGCACCATGCTGGGGCCATCGGTTTGCTATGGCTCAGAAGACTTCCACCCAGTAGAGCAGCCAACACTGCCCCTCATGAGCAGGGATCTGTGATGCTCAAGTGCCAGAGAGCTTGGTGTGTAATTCCAAAAAAGTCAAATAACCTTCCGCTCTGATGTCTTTCAGGACCAGAACCACATCAGTTCCGCTGTGCCACAGTTTCCTCCTGCTGCGGAAAAGGGAATAAGATTTGACCTTTATGCAGCTTTAGTAGTAAGTCAAGAGAGTAAGACAGCTGAAATTAAGTCTCAGGCTATGTCTAGATTGAAGGCTACTTTCGGAAGAAGCTTTTCTGGAAGAGATCTTTTGAAAAACTTCTTTTCCACACTGCCAAAGCGCATCGAAAAAGCGATCTGCCTTTTCGAAAGATAGCATCCGCACTGAATAGACGCTCTCTCACATTTAAGCTGTGATTGCTATGGACAGGGTGGCCACTGGGGCACCTGTGCTTTTCCCTCTTTCCTCTTCTTTCGAAAGAACTCCCTCTTCCCCGTCCACACACGCCTTTTCCCGAAAGGGCTCTTTCAGGAAAAGGCTTCTTCCACATACAAAGAGGTTTACCAATGTCAGAAAAATCCCTCTGTTCTTTCGATTAAAAAAAGAACAACGTGATTTCAATGTGGACGTAAATGAAGGTTTTTTTCGGAAAAATATCTGTTTTTCTGAAAAACCTCTGTAATGTAGACATACCTTCAGAGGGGGAGTTGTGTTAGTCTGTAACTTTAAAAACAATGAGTAGTCCCCTGTCACCTTAGGGCATGGCTACATTGAGGAATTATTTCAAAATAACTCTCCTTATTTCGAAATAACAAGGCGAGCGGCCACACTACCAAGCCTGTTATTTCAAAATGACAGCTCCTGCTTGTGAAGAAGAATAAGCTTATTTTGAAATAGTTATTTCAGGAGTTATTATTTCAAAAGAACTTATTTCAAAATAAGCTGGTAGTGTTGACATAGCTGAAGGTGCCACAGGAGTCCTTGTTGTTTTTAAAGCTGAAATTAAGAATTGCACAGCCAGAACAATATCAAACATTGGGCAGATAAGACCAGGTCATTCAGAATATGTCTTTGCAAGATATGGTCATTACAATAATGCTCGTTGTAGACTGGACTTCTCTGTAACTAATTTAGGATATCAAAACTCATACTCCCTTCATTAACTGCAATGTTTTCTCCCAATTCCACACCATTTCTGGAATCTAGAAACATGCATCAGAAACAAGCACGACAAAAACAAGAGTTACATTTATTTTGTAAAAAAGAGACATATACAAATACTTGGCGTTGCCAAGACAGTGCATGTAAACTATGGAGCTCGTGTGTCTTGAGGGTGTGTTGATTCTTACAGAGGTATCAGTTTTGTTACAACTCTGGCTCCCATGGACCATGTCTTTGAGGAGGAAGCATGATTCTATGTGATGTCTAGTTATTTCCCTACTGGAGGTCTGTCGCACAGTCTCTAGTCCACACTCTCAGGCACACTGTGCTCTGAACTGCTGCTTTGAAGATGATCCCAGTACCCCTTCATACTTTTACTTTGGCTCATAGCCACTTCATCATCTTCATCATCATCTGTGACATTGACAGGAATGTAGCCTCCTTCTCTGGGAAAACACAGGCACCAGCCAGCACCTGTGAAGTCCACTGTTTTGAAGTCAATCACTTCGAGTCCCCTGAAGTCAACGGTGTCCTGTCGGGAGTATATGTCGTCAAGCTGTTGCCAATATAACCAAGCCATGACCAGGCCAAGTACCTGTAAAAGACAGTCATTGAAAGGGATTACATTTCGTGATCCAAACTCTTTATGCAGTGCCTTAAATACAAGAACTTCGTATTTTAACAATCTCTTTGACCAGGCTATGTTTTCCTGTGTGCGCCACAACATTATACAATAAATCCTCAGGTCTCACGGAAGGCAGGACTGAGCTTAATCAGAACCTGGATGGGAGACATCTGGGGAAAATGAAGATGCTGTAGGAGGAGAGGTAGGTGGTACTCTCCATCTCTGAGTCTGTACTATATGGCCCAGCATGGCAGCCAGCACTGCTGTGTTGTGACGGGGCAGCCGTTTAGACATGCTCTGAAAATGATCTCCCTGGCACTTTCTTTTTGTGCACAGGGAGGGGTGTAAACCCCAGGGTTTCGAACAAATTCCAGCAGGGCTCATTCCATTTTGCCTCCTTGAATTCCTCATGGAGTTTCAGGTGGAGAAATGGCTCTTAGAATGTAGCCTGGAAAGCTGGTCATGCTTAGCAGCAAACATGTATGATGCCGAAGTTGGCGACATTTCAGGTAAGTGAGCCCTACGTATATACGGTATGGAACTCGTGCTGGGCTCCTTCAAGTTCAACAGTGCTATATAACATTATTTGCTTGCCTCCTTGAATTCCTCATGGAGTTTCAGGTGGAGAAATGGCTCTTAGAATGTAGCCTGGAAAGCTGGTCATGCTTAGCAGCAAACATGTATGATGCCGAAGTTGGCGACATTTCAGGTAAGTGAGCCCTACGTATATACGGTATGGAACTCGTGCTGGGCTCCTTCAAGTTCAACAGTGCTATATAACATTATTTGCAGACTTACCCGGGTCCTCTCCCCCCCCCCCAGCCCCCCCCCCACCCGCCACCCCTCCCC